GTCCCGCTCTGCTAATAATCAAAAGACTGCATGATCAGCGACGAGGCTGGAGACAGCATCAGACTCCCACCTCACAATTACTGTGGTTAAATGATAAACTCTGCAACCAGATACCAAAAGAACACTCACACAAATATTTACAGTATCATAATATCTGTAATATAAACATCCACCATCTACTTTCTTCGCCTCTTGGAGCCTATCCCAGCTGTCACAGAGCGAGCGGGTATACACCCTGGACAGGTCGGCAGTTTAACACCAAGAGACAGACAATCCTTCCCCTCACATTAAAACCTGCGACCAGTTTAGATTCACCAGTTAACAGAACGCGTGTCTGAGGGAGGAAGCCACACAGACAGCTGCTGGTTTTTAACCCAGGACCTTAATGCTGTGAGGCCAACCAGTGAACCACCCAACCAAACAACAACATGATATCACGCTGGCTGCAGTTTCACATCAGAGCTCGATGAATGAAACACTGAAGTTGAAAATCTCTGATGACACATCGTTTAAACATCACAGCGTAACAAAATCATCAACCCTGGATTCAAATTCTCCTACAACTTGTTACAGATGTCTTTACAGAAATGTGGCCAATCTTGTGGCAAGGATAAGGATAGATTATGTGGAATCTGTTTAAAAAATACAAAACCTTATAAGCTTTGAGTTTACTTTTCCACACTGATGTTCTGCAGTGAACCATGGCTAACACACCAAGACCCCGAGTGAAGATAAAAGCAGCTCAGCTCGTGGAAATGAGTCGAAAAACTGCGATAAACAACATTTCAGAAATTTTTCAGAGCGTCTGTCATAGATGAAGGGAACTGATATGGGCACGAGAAACACTTTTAAAGAGCCTCTACAATTATATACCTGTATTATAGTGGAGACATCGATGACCACAGTCACTTTAGTTGCTCTAGTATCACCTGAAGGTTAATAATCATGGATTACGTCAGTATGAGTTCATGCTAGCTCCCAGCTTCAGGTACACTTATGTTGCAGGTGAGTCTGCAGGAGGCGTCACCTGAACGCTGCAAACATTCATACACATAAAGAGCCCAAAGCCAGCTTCTGTTTTGCCTTAATGATGCATTCGCTGTTTAATTTGTGATGTAAATCAGGAAAACAACAGCTTTACTCAGCTGTTTAAGATATTTTATTTCCCGTTTTTTCAAATGACTTCTCAGTTTGAGATGTTAAATAAATTTACAATTACACACTTCAGTGAAATGCAGGTGTCTTTAAAACACCTTAAAAAACTGTTAAATATCAAATCCTGGAAGTTACTTAATCGCAGAGAGAAAACGGACAAATAAAGAGAAGTTTCTCACCTGCAGCTTCTTTCTTTCTTTCTTTCTTTCGTCAGTTATGTCGTCCCACGTCTGAATAAACACTTCGCTGTCTTTCTGTGTGCAGCGTTCACATGTGTGTGAAGACCACCGCCTCCTCCGCTTCCTTTAAAAGCACACACACACACA